GGGTCGCTCCCATGTGACACCTCTCCTGTGTGAGCTGCATTGGCTTCCAGTGGTCTTCCGGGTGCGCTTCAAGGTGTTGGTTACCATCTTTAAAGCACTCCATGGCATAGGACCTGGGTATTTGCAGGACCGCCTTCTGCCGCCGATAGCCTCCCACCGACCAGTACGCTCCCACAGAGAGGGACTCCTCAGGGTGCCGTCAGCCAGGCAATGTCGGCTGGCGACCCCCAGGGGGAGGGCCTTCTCTCTGGCCCCGGAGATAAGAAGGATATCGGATCTCCGGGTTTTTCGCCGTGCCCTGAAAACTCTTCTTTTCCAGCAAGCAGGGCTGGCGTGAACCCCGCCCCCCTTTTTTTAGTTTTTAATGGTTATTAATTGTTTAGTTTTAATCTGTAAATGGGTTTTAATTCGCATTGTTTTAATTCGGGCCAAAGTATATAATTCTTTTAATTGATTTTAAATTTTGTATTGTTATGTATTTTAGTTTTGGCTGTGCACCGCCCTGAGTCCACTAGGAGAAGGGTGGTATATAAATTGAATAAATAAATAAAATAAATAAATAAATAAATGCCTCTGATGATCCAAGCTGAGTTGCCTGATTGGCAGAGGCTTTTTAAAAAAGCCTCTGCCGATCAGGCAACTCAGCTTGGATCATCAGAGCCTTTTGAAAGCATTTTTTTACAACCTCTTCGCTGAAGAGGTTGTAGAAAAAATGGTTTTAAAAGTAAAAAAAAAAAAGGCCACGCCCACCCAGTCACATTACCACCCCCACCAAGCCACGCTCACAGAACTGGTAGTAACAAATTTTAGATTTCACCACTGGTCATAGGGGAACGTAAAACTACATGGGATTAGTTCTAACTGTATCTGAATATTACTGAAATGGTACTCCTAATAAGTGACTGTATTTCTTTTGAAATTTGGCTTGTGGCTCATGAATTAATTAGGGCATCTTTCTGAAACTTCACAGTTGATTCTCCAGCTAGAGTTCTTTTTCCACACCACGTATTTTCTCACAACTTTAATCCAAATTTATCATCAAACATTAAGGTCTTCAAAGCGTGCCTCTATTCTTTCGTACACACCTTCCATGTGATCTGTCCTTTTCAATAACTTTGTCTTGTCTCCGCTCCCACCACTATATCGCCGCTTTTCCACCATCTAGGAGACTCACTCGACAGCTGATATAATCTGTGTTACACCAAATCACTGAGAATCTTTCCAGTATCGATCTCCTTTTCACTCCTTCTCACCGATACTTTACGCTGTTTTACCTCTTTTCTCTTCCAACTCCATTTGAACAGTCAGGTCGTCATGCCTCCGGATCTGCCAGAAAGGCTGATTTATTTCGCGTCTGATCTGAGGGCATCCTCTTGTTGTTGCAGGAGATCGTCCCTCTCTCCGCCAACTCCGAGGATTCCCCTCTACATCACTGCTCCCTCCAAGATCCAACTTTGCCCTGGGGGCCTCAGAAACATGAAAAATCAGACAAACTAAACAGAGCCCCATTTAGTTTGCTCCGCACTAGCACGACGTCATCACCAGAAGTATCTTATAATATAGTTTTCTATTTAAAATACATTAATAATTTAGTTTATTCAGCATGAAATAGAGCTTAATTATGTAGCATGGCACTTTATATTCTGCAATACTAGGACTGTCGGTGAGTCAACAGCAGGTCAGAGGAGAGCCGCTGGACAGAGATGACAGTTGCTCTTTAAAAATTATGATTTAAATCGAGTTAATTTAAATCAAACCTTTTTACTAGTGATTTAAATCGAGTTGATTTAAATCAAATCCACCCTGACAGCAAGTATGTCAAAGATACAGTTTCATCCGTCCAAACCAAATGCGGAGAAAGAAAGAGCAGTTCACAGAAGGGCAAATCCCCTGATCTGCATCTACTAATGGACTTGGCTTGCAAGCAAGAACATTTTCTTAAGGAAGAATGTTCAACATCTCACAGATCCCGGAAGAATGGAGATTCTTCACCAAACACAGAATCTGAAGGCAACCTCAGAGTAACAAGAGCAGTGACGTGCAAGCCTCAAAGCCAAGTCACTATACAGATAACTTCTGACGTGACTTGGGTTCCATTGCCACAGAATGCTGGATATGTATCAAAAGACCTCAGCAAGCCTAAGGGGAAGCTAGCAATGGGATGTTATATTCCGGACTTAGATCACTGTCAAGTTCCCAGAGGCCTCATTGGAAACCGCAATGGCACCACTTCTGTGACAACCATATCAGCAAAAAAGCGATGACAGCTCACCTAAGGCTACCCACCTCAGAACTCAAATAGTGGTATCTGTTCATACCAGGCAGGGAGTATCATGGCACAACAAACAACTTTATATACTGCTGTTGCTCTCTAGCCCCATTTAGTGGCCAGAGAGACAAATATGCTCCAACTATATTGTTTGAAGCTGACTCCACCCATTTACCCATCAGCCCGCACTCTCAAACCAAGTGCACACTGGGAAGCTAGACTCCATTTCCTTTAGCATTTGGAGAATGCAGAAGCACAAGGAAACAGCCATCTTAATCTGTGGCACATGATTATCCAAGGACAAACCTACATCCCACACATAGAGCATCGCTGGTAAGATTCAAACTGCTTGTATTTATTAATTGTTATGTTCAGCAGTAACTTAATACTGTCTATCTTATATTTGATTCTCACTATATGTATCCGGATTTTCCTCAGTTTCACCATATCCTGTTCTCTCAATAAAGCATTCAGATCTACACACATGGTCATTTTATTGGAGGATAGATGAGTTTAGCTGCATGTAGAGCTGCACACAGACTAATGTGTAGTGGGGACAGAACAATTAACTTACATAGAAATATTAACTGTAAAAAACTACATACGTGGAATAAGGAGACAAAGGGATAATTTCCCTTTCACTACACTACATATAACATAACTATACAGGAGGGAGATTAGTTTTCACAATATTTTTTATCTTTGGAAACCAGGTATTTGAATTTGAATATTTACCTTATAAAATATTTACCTTAGAAAAGTGATTTAAGCTGCCAAATCTTAATTAATCCCTGAATTTCTTCAGTCAGGATGACTGAATAAAATTTTGGAAATATTTTAAGAGATTTTTGAGGAATTATATGGTAACAGGAAGAACATATGCTAGTTCTTTGAGCAAGCTGAACCATTATTGAGTACAATATTAATTCAAAATACCAAGAAAGAACACCCACTGCAAAATTACAAACTCCAGATTAGAGCAATAGTATCACGGGGAGGGGGACTATTACCATATCTCCATTCCAGAACCACCAATGTTAATGCCCAATGAGGTAAATATTTTTCTGTAAGGAACAGAATAAATTCTATTCTAAAGGCTGCTGCTGCTACTATGCTAAAAGAATCTACACTGATCCTTCTGAAAATTGAAGTGGAAGTTATGTGGCTTAACTTTATATACCTTCTTCATGCCCCCAATATTGAGGCCAATGAGAATTGTAAATGTTATTAGTAAATTACCTACCTAACACCAGTTTAAGAAATTCACTGATTGGCTAGAGTTAGATCAAAAGCAAGTTTGATCCAGAACAAGTTGATCTACAATAGCTCAATTCATTACAGCATCATGCCAAATCATGTGGCAGAATATTTCTCTTTTTCTAGATATACTTCAGAGATTTGACTCAATCCCCAAGGGGAAACTATGAAATTAATTCATAGATTCACATCAAATTTATCAGACCAATTATGGTGCTCTACAAAAAAGTAGATTATTTGCAGGTGAGATGTATAGTACTTAGATCTTTCAAGCACAATTCTACTGAAGTGAAGTTAACAAGAATATATTCAGATATCTTCTCTATTTAATCTGAAATATCAATTGGACGCATACCTTATCAAATATAAATTTAATCCTCAAATATTCTACAATACTATTTTAATATCAATTTTGCTCTAGAAAACAGGGGTGTCAAACTGGTGGCCTGCGGGCCAGATGCGTCATGCACAGGCCACGCCCACTTCGGCTCTGCAAAGGCAAAAAAGTCACAATACATCATGTGATGCAATTGAATTTGACACCTATGCTCTAGATAGATGATGCTCATCCTTTGCCCTATATAGGAAATCTTCGGTGGAGCCTTCATATTTTAGGCATCAACTGTAGTGAGGAAATAGCAGAAATTACAAACTAATAAGCTGTTTTCCATTTGTGCTAAATTAACAGTAAACAGAATGAGCAAATTAAGTTATTTAATCATAGAAGAATTATCTACTAATGTGTGGAATGAAGAAATAAAACCAACTCATCTCATGCACAGAACTTTCAATGCTAGATTTTCCAATCATTATGGAAATAACTACAATCCACTGTTTGCAATGTAGGGCCAAATTGTTATACCTCACATTTTGCAAGGTGTGGATTTGTGCCTATAAAAAAAGTATAAGACTCATTATACTTAATGAGTATAAGATAATTCTGTCCAAGTTTTTTAAAAACTGTGCTCTCATGCTTTTGGTGCTTTTTAACCTCAGTGCAATCCTGAGGTTAGAGTTCAGCTATATATCAACAAACATTCATGAAAATCACTGGACGGAAATGTGAATTAAAGTGAGTTTATTCATCTAATTATCACGAATAAGTGTTGATTCCCCATGTTTTCTCTATCCAGTTACTATATATACGAATGAAAAAGTTATAGATGGAGAAAAGAATTGGAAATAGAATCACAGACCCCACTAATCACTCACATTAACCTCAGCCAATCGGAGCTACAAATAACGATTTTGAGAAAAAGAAACTCAAGGTAGTTATTATTCCGAGTTCTTAATCCCCAAAGGCTAATTCAGTTAGGAGTCAGGTTTGATGAAGCTGCCGGAAGTAATTTTAGCCCAATAAATAGGCAGCAGAGCAAATACGAATTGCTTCGTCAATCAGCGCTCTATCGTCTCTCGCCACCCGCCTCTTCCGACAGGGTGAGCGCTAAGGCCCCCAGCCACCCCTTGTCTGCACCTTGTAGTAAAACGCCGCTTCTTGGTATTTCCCTTCTTGGTCTTTCTGAACGGCCAGCTGCGCGAACTTCACCGCATCTTGTTCCTGCGCTGCACCGTCCATGGCAGAGGAAGAGCCGCGCGGCCCAGGGACCCCCTCGCTTCAGCGGCCCAGTTACTTTAGGTCTCCGCTTCCTGCTCGCTGACGTCAGGGCAATACCCGTAGCCCCGCCCCATCCCGGAAAAGGGAAAGGCGCGTTTTTCTTGCAGGGATATTTTTTTACTGTAGACGCATGCGAACTAGAGATCCCCGCCTTAATGTCTGGCACCAAAGTGTAATCGATTCTCGTGGCGCTCGAAAAACTCGTCTGTTGATTTTGGCTTGTTTCAGAGGGCAAACATTTTATCACAGGCATTTAAAACAATTTTGCTCTCCAACGCGGAATTTCCCTTATTCTTCCGATTTACAGGAACAGCTGCCAATATCGATTCAAGTTAGATTCACACCTATAATTAACTGTTCCTTCTACCGAATCGTCTTTTTGTGGATCAGATCTAAACTGCACATAAGTGGGCGACCATTAGATGAGTCCCGGAGCTTCAGTTTCCTGCATGTCTTCTGACGGTGGCCTATATATCTTTGCTCCAATTTATGAACTTCCCGGCCCCACTCTCCCAAGAGGCGCAGGCGCAATCGATTTGGACTTTCAGAACTAAATTTCCATGACCCCCGAAGATATGAACTAGCCTGCAACCGGTTTACTTGTTACTTATATCGCTGTTCATCCCCGCTCAAATTCTCTGCCCAATTCTATAATGACGTATCCTTTTGATTTCCAAAGCGTCTCATTATAAAACCTCTTTTGCGCGCGCGCGCGCACGTGCGTGCGTGCGTGTGTGTGTGTGTTGTACAATGGATGAGTAATGAAGAATTTTCATTACTTCACGGTGTTGTATTATTTTGTTTTTACTCTCTGGGCTGCAAATTGGTGTCTAGTGATCATCCGGCTATAAACTGAGAAAAATTTAACCACCACAAAGAATCCTGATATAGCGAAAAGACCACAAATGAATGAAAATTCCAGTACTAATTTATTTATTTGTTTTAATTTGTATACCGCCCTTCTCCAGCAGAACTCAGGGCGGTGAACAGCCAGAATAAAACAGAACATACAAAATTTTAAAACAGTTTAAAAATAATTAAATATTTTGGCCACAATTTAAAACAAACCCAATTAAAATCAATTAAAATTAACCAAAAACTGGGATCAAGCCAGCCCAGCTAGGTGAAATAAATAAGTTTTCAGGGCCCGACTAAAAATCTGGAGGACTGATATTGTACGTATCTCTGGGGGGAGGTTGTTCCAGAGGGCGGGCATCGCCACAGAGAAGGCTCTCCCCCTGGGGGCCGCCAGCCGACACTGTTTGGCGGACGGCACCCTGAGGAGGCCCTCTGTGTGAGTGAACTGGCCGGTGGGAGGCTATTGGTGGCAGAAGGCGGTCTCGTAAATATCCCGGCCCTAAGCCATGGAGCGCTTTAAAGGTGGTCACCAACACCTTGAAGCGCACCCGGAAGACCACCGGAAGTCAGTGCAGCTCGCGCAGGAGAGGTGTCACATGGGAGTGCCCCGTTGCTCCACTAATCCCCCGTGCAGTCGCATTCTGGACCAGCTGGAGCCTCCGGGTGCACCCCAGGGGGAGCCCCATGTAGAGAGCATTGCAGTAGTCCAGGCGGGAGGTGACGAGTGCCTGAGTGACCGTGCGTAGGGAGTCCCAATCTAGAAAGGGATGCAACTGGCATATCAGGCGAACCTGATAAAAAGCCCCCCTGGCCACGGCCATCATATGCTCTTCTAAAGACAGCCGTGCAGGCCCTCACGGCCTCCAGGCACTGGGACATCACTTCAAGGGCATTGTTGGGGTGGCCTGGGGTGGAGATGTACAGCTGGGTGTCATCAGCGTACTGATGGAACTCCACCCCGAAGCCACGGATGATCTCACCCAGCGGCTTTACATAAATGTTGAACAGAAGAGGCGAGAGGACCGACCCTTGTGGCACCCCACAAGCAAGGCGCCTTGGGGTCGACCGCTGCCCCCCTGTCAACACAGATTGCGACCGGTCAGAGAGGTAGGAGGAGAACCACTGCAGAATGGTGCCCCCCACCCCTAGCCCCTTCAACCGGTGCAACATGATACCATGGTCGATGGTATCAAAAGCCGCTGAGAGATCTAACAGGACCAGGATAGAGGAACAACCCCTATCCCGAGCCCTCCAGAGATCATCCACCAACGCGACCAATGCCGTTTCCTTGCTGTACCCAGGCCAGAAGCCAGACTGGAGCGGGTCTAGATAGACAGCTTCATCCAGGTACCGGGGAAGCTGCCGCGCCACCACACTCTCAACAACCTTCGCAATGAAGCAAAGGTTGGAGACTGGACGATAGTTAGCCAAAATAGCCGGATCCAGAGAGGGCTCCTTGAGGAGGGGCCTCACCACCGCCTCTTTCAAAGTGGCCGGCAGGACCCCCCTCACTCAGAGAAGCGTTAATAATCCTCTGGAGCCAGCCTCGTGTAACCTCCCGGGAAGCCAGTACCAACCAGGAGGGACACGGGTCCAATAAACGTGGTCGCGTTCAACCATCCCAGGATCCTGTTCACGTCCTCGGTAGCCACAGGATCGAACTCCTCCCAGATAACACTCTCAAGACCTGCCTCAGTCATCCTGTCCGGACATACCCAGTCAGAGGCCAGCCCTTCCCGAATCTGAGCGATCTTGTCATGCAGATACTGCACAAAATCCTCAGCTCGACCCTGCAAGGGATCATCCCGCACTCCCAGATGGAGGAGGGAGCGGGTCACCCTAAACACGGTGGCTGGGCGATTATCTGATGACGCAATAAGAGCGGCAAAATAGCTAGATTTCGCCGCTTTTATCGCCACTAGGTAGGTCTTAATATGAGACCTCACCGGTGTTTGGTCGGATTCAGAGTGGCTGGTCCTCCAACTGCTTTCTAGGCATCTTTTCCGGCACTTCATCTCCCTCAGCTCCTCGGAGAACCAAGGAGCCAGGTGAGTTCGGTGCTGGGTCAGAGGCCGCAAAGGCACGACGTGGTCCAAGGCCCCGGCGGCCACACTATCCCAGGCGGCCACCAGGTCTTCAGCCGAGTCATGAGCCAGAGTCTCAGGAAATGGCTCAAGCTCCATCTGGAACCTATCAGAATCCATCAGGTGCCTGGGGCGGAACCACCTGGTCAGTCCCGGTCCCGCCTCCCTGCGGCGGGGTGCAGCAGTTAGAAAGTCCAATTGAAGGAGCGAGTAGTCAGACCATGACAAGAGTTTGATGACTATATCCTCTGTATTAAGGCCACTCGACCACTGACCAGAGACAAAAACTAAGTCCAGAGTGTGTCCGCCCGTGTGAGTGGGGTCATGAATTAACTGAGTAAGGTCCATGGCCATCATGGAAGCCATGAACTCTCGAGCCACCTCAGACTAAATCCTTAACATTAATTTTTCTTAAGTTTGAAATAGCAATAACAACTGCGAAGGTTGTTGAGAGTGTGGTGGCACGACAACTGCCTGGGCACGTGGATGAAGCTATCTATCTAGACCCGTGCCAGTCGGGCTTCAGGCGGAGGCACAGCACAGAAACAGGATTGGTCGCGTTGGTGGATGATCTCTGGAGGGCTCAGGACAGGGGTTGCTCCTCTGTCCTAGTCCTATTAGATCTCTCAGCGGCTTTTGATACCATCGACCATAGTATCATGCTGCAGCAATTGAGAGGGTTAGGAATAGGGGGCACCGTTCTGTGGTGGTTCTCCTCCTTCCTCTCCGACCGCTCGCAGTTCGTGTTGGCAGGGGGGCAGAGGTCAACCTCGAGGTGTCTCGCATGGGGAGTGCCACAAGGGTCGGTCCTCTCGCCTCTTCTGTTCAACATTTATGTGAAGCCGCTGGGTGAGATCATCCGTGGTTTTGGGGTGAAGTGTCATCTGTACGCTGATGACACTCAGCTGTACATCTCCACCCCAGACCACCCCAATGATGCCCTTGATGTGATGTCTCGCTGCCTGGAGGCCGTGCGGGTATGGATGGGGAGGAACAGGCTCAGACGCAACCCGTCCAAGACCGAGTGGCTGTGGCTCCCGGTGTCCCGATATAGTCAGCAGGTGCCATCGCTGACTATTGGGGGTGAATCTTTGCCCCCAACAGAGAGGGCTCACAATCTGGATGTCCTCCTGGACGCACGGCTGTCTTTAGAAGAGCATATGACGGCCGTGGCCAGGGGGGCCTTTTATCAGGTTCGCCTGATCCGCCAGTTGCAGCCCTTTCTGGACCGGGACGCCTTGCGCACGGTCACTCATGCCCTTGTCACCTCCCGGCTGAACTATTGTAATGCTCTCTACATGAGGCTCCCCTTGAAGAGCACTCGGAGGCTCCAACTGGTCCAGAATGCGGCCGCGCGGGTGATTATGGGCGCAACTCGGGCCCGTGTGACACCCCTCCTGCGCGAGCTGCACTGGCTCCCAGTGGTCTTCCGGGTGCGATTCAAGGTGCTGGTTACCACCTTTAAAGCGCTCCATGGCATAGGACCCGGGTACCTTCGAGACCGACTTCTGCCACCAGTAGCCTCCCACTGGCCAGTCCGCTCCCACAGAGAGAGTCTCCTCAGGGTGCCATCGGCCAAGTTATGTCGGTTGGCGACACCCAGGGGAGGGCCTTCTCTGTGGGAGCCCCAGCCCTGTGGAATGAACTGCCCCTGGAAATACGTAAGATCTCCGACCTCCGGGTGTTTCGTTGCGCATTGAAGACCCTGTTGTTCCGCCAGGCCGGGCTATCAACATAATGATTTTAAATTGGGGTATTTTAAATTTTTGGGGTTTTAAACCGGCCAAATCTATTTAATTATTTTAAATTTTAATCATTGTTGTGTCTTGTGTTTTTAAATTGGCTGTACACCGCCCTGAGTCCTTCGGGAGAAGGGCGGTATAGAAATAAAATTATTATTATTATTATTATTATTATTATTATTATTATTATTATTATTATTATTATTATTATTATTATTCTCCGCTCCTAATTCTATGACTCTGGGAATGGTGTTGAAAATAGTCGGAACTACGTACATATAAGATCCACCCTGCTTCAAGTAGTGGCAGCAAAAGTGAAGCTGCTAGGACCGAGGTGTCAAAATTCAATTTCACTGAGGGCCACATCAGGATTGTGGTTGACTT